ATATTATGGCGAAAGTAAATTTGTGTCTGCCTCTGAATTTTTCTGAATGAACAGAATAATGTGTCTCTGAGATCGACTAAAAGATATATCATAGTATATCCCGTAAAGGTTTAATGGGGGCCCTCTCGGCTTGGGAATCCCTTAAATTTTCCAATTGTTTTAAAAATGGAAATTATACTCGCATTTTAAATCTATGAGTGCCATTTCCGGCCACTTCGAGGTGCCGTATTCATATATGATCTTACCTTAGCCCCAACCATGCTGGGGCTGAGGTGGCATAGGTGTGTGAAAGTCCCTCCCTACCTACATTCCCTCTATTTTGAATACCTTTATCTGCAACTGATATCATATAATTTATTTCGTTGTTAAAAGCAATCTAGAATACAATGCCATATATTAGAAAAACGAGCACATTTAAATTGCCACAATCAAGGTGGTGACCGGATCAAAAAAGGGCCCCAGTCTCAGGAAGACACAGGGCCCAATGGCCCATCGTTAGGCCACTGCCGGTGTAGTGCCCAATCACCACCAGAAGGACCTCACTGGAAACAAGTATTCTTCCGACTTTTGTGGGTTATTCTTGGTGTTTACACCGAATATATCCATCCAACCATAAGGGACAGATAAAGAAAGAATTTTGTCTTTCTGATCTTTCTTCTTTATTTTTTGGGGGGTTGAGATAGACCCGTGTCTCCTGGACCCACCCTGAAACGATTGATTGAATGATTGTTTGATAATACTTTTTATATTGGCAAAGCTAAGAAAATGCATGTGCATAGGCCTATGCATAGACCTAATATAAATATGTTGCACGCAAATATTCAAATTAATATGTGTGTGCAAAATATTATTCACACAACATTTTTTGGCATTGTCTAAAAATTGTCTTTTCATCCTTAACACTTATCTAGGGGGATTACCCACCCCGGTGTCACTTCGTGAGCAAAAATATTTTACTGATATGCATGGTGCTCATAACATTGTTTCGGCCTGGGACCCACGACTCGTCGTTGCACCACTGAGAGGACCATGTCTATTAATGTTATAACAAATCAATCAGCCAATCAAATATATTGTACAGTACGCAACATAACGGTACCATTGTTCATAGTTACAAGTATTTACTGTATGTAGAATCATCAATAAATAGGAAAACACAACATACTGTATTTGCCTTGGCCACCATGAAGTAAGAGTGGGGCCCGGGCCTATCCGGGGTTCATTTGGACTCGGAGGAACTAAGAATTTCCCCAGAAAGCAGACTGGTGTACATATCTGGTCAAACCTCCATAGTAAAATGATAGGTCGTAGTTGGACTGACTCCTTCTAATAAATCAGCCAAGAGTGTGTTTGTGGGATTTTGTTCTATTTGATTTGTTTTGAAAATTATAGAAAAAGTTACCGTATTGTCAAGGCGTTTTAGTAGAGTGATGGGTAATACAGTAGTAAGAAGGGCTCATGCCCCGTGGCTCTTCAGGGACCCATTTGAACTGGGACTTGGCCCATAAAGCATATGCGTTATGCACGATTAAGGCTCAATAGTAAAATGCTAGTTAGTAGTAAGAGAACCCACTCCCTCTCCCACTCCACCCCGAGAGCTCACGAACATTAGGCAACTGGATCCTGTTTATTTGTTATATAGTATGCCATAATCAGATTTACAGGACAACATATGAAAAACTACACAGTTTCTGATATGTATATACCCGGAAAGCATAGCTCATCATTGGCAGAGCTTTCAAATGATACCAAACACGACAACTTTTGGTAAGTTTGATTGTTTGACCTTTGATCTTTTGTGGCATGTGACTTTATATATTGGTCTATATCGCTGTAAATATGTATTATGTTGTTTAGGTGTAGTGACAATAAATGATCAGTGTATAATTCCCTTTCTATTGACGCCAATCATGACCATGTTTTATGTGGTGCGTCAGCCATCTTGAAATTCTAAATGGCGGTCGATGACGTTGGGAAAAAGTGGCACCTAACTTTTTTGAATTCAGCGCAGTAAAAATGATAAAATTACTAAAAATCTATTTTTGCACAAAAATCTATGTGGATTACATAGAAAAGTGTACTAGTAGCTTATTTACTCATTCTTATTTTATGTACATTGTAAGTATATTTTGCGATTACAAATAAACACCTATTTTTTAATTATGTTCCATTCTGGCTTGAGTAGTTTTTATATGTCTAAAGTAGACACTAAAATAATATCTGTAGTTTATTAGTTCCAATTTTATGCCCATTTCAGATAAATTTGGCGGCCATAATGGCCGCCATTTGTATACAAGGCGTAAAATCAAGTGTCAACTTAGGGTGACCAGAAGGGATTAATTAGGATATCTGGCTATGTGGATTGCTTCTAACATTCCACTCCCTTAACTCATTTTTTCAAATTTTTTTTAAACAATGAAACAAAGGCTCTCTGTTGTTGAGAGAGAGAGAATCAATAGAACATTAAAAACGAGGATGTGGAGATATTTCACGTCTAAAGGTACCAATAAATATATCGATGCGCTTCCCAATGATGTAATTTCTATTATTTGAAGAGCGTTTGCTAAGCTAAAAACACGTAATTCATGATTTTGTAAATTAATGTAAATTCTATGTTGCTATGTATATTATTAGTTTGCTAGAAACAAAATAAATGAAAAGCTATTCTTGTTTATTGCTGAAACAAAATTATATGACTCTCTCTCATTATTTGAATTTATATTGTATGCTGGTAGTGGAGTAGATACAGTATCACAC